CCGACGATTGGTAAAGAAAGTTTGCACGAATATAGTAATGATAATGGGATCCGTCTGATAAACTTTGCCATCTCGAAAAACCTGATAATTAAAAGTACGACGTTTAAACATAAGGATATTCATAAATATACTTGGACATCACCGGATTCGCAAACACGAAATCAAATCGATCATGTCTTGATACAACATAGCTGGCAAAGCAGTATAATCAATGTACGGTCTTATCGCGGAAGAGAATGTGGGTCGGATCATGAATTAGTAATCGCGAAACTTCGACAAAAACTTAATATAAAAAAGAGAAAAGAAAACCGTTTCGATTTTGAGAATTTTAATCTGGAAAAATTAAAAAATCCATTAATTAGAACCCAATTCGAGCTAGATGTTAAGAATAGGTTTGAAGCTTTAGAGCTTCCTGACGAGGACCACGAGGATATTGACAAGTTATGGGTAGAGATCAGGGATAATATAAAAGCGGTCGGTAACTCGTGCCTAGGAAAAAAGGAAACTAAGAATAACCAACTGTGGTTTGATGAAGATTGCTTAAACATGTGCGAAAAAAGAAAAGCCGCTAAATTAAAAGCTCTAAATAATCCTAGCGAAGACAATCTGGAATACTTCCGAATCTCAAAGAACGAAACGACAAAATTGCTCAAAAATAAAAAAAGGGAGTATCTTAAAAATAAAATAATTGAAATAGAAACTAATAGAATCGAAAATAACGTAAGAGACATGTACAAAGGTATAAACAGATCACGTAAATATGTAGGGCCCGTAACGTCTGGAATTAGGGATGATAATAACAATATTCTGACCGATCCGGTTGACATATTGAATAAGTTTAAGGACCACTTTGACAATATTTTAAATTCGAGAAATTATGATCTGTGTCCTCCTTCTGAGTACCAGAGTGCTGAACCGTTAATAGAAGCACCAAGTAAAGAGGAAGTTGAAGTAGCTATCGGAAAATTAAAATCATATAAATCAGCGGGAATCGATAATATTCCTACTGAACTAATTAAGGCATGCGGGGAAGCTGGAGTTTCTAAAATACATCGGTTGGTTAAAAAGATCTGGGTGAACGAGAAATTACCTGAAGAATGGAAAGAATCTATTCTTATTCCGATTCACAAAAAGGGTCCGAGGACGGATTGTAATAACTATCGAGGAATTTCACTCCTTCCGGTATGTTATAAAATATTCACTTTAATCTTAACCAGTCGAATTACGGAATACGCCGAGGAAATTATCGGAGACTACCAATGCGGATTTAGACGGAATCGCTCGACTATTGATCAAATATTTTCTTTACGGCAAATATTAGAGAAAAAATTGGAGTATAACGGTATTGTTCACCAGCTGTATATAGATTTTAAAAAGGCTTACGATTCTACTGACCGTCAGAAACTGTATAATATTCTAATTGAGCAGGGGATTCCAAAAAAACTAGTAAATCTAGTCAGGATGTGCTTAACGGAGACACTCAATAAAGTTAGAGTCGGTAATAATTTGTCCGAAAAATTTGAGGTTCGTTCGGGCTTAAAACAGGGGGATTCACTTTCGCCTGTCCTGTTCAATTTGGCATTAGAATATGCCATTAGGGAGGTAATGCGAACCGAGAAAGGGTTGGATCTGGGCGGGACAACATCCGTGCTGGGCTATGCTGATGATCTGGTACTGTTAAGCGAAGACGTTGAAACTATAAAACTAAATACGACAACGTTAATGAAAGCCGGGAAAGAACTAGGACTCGAAATAAACGTGGACAAAACAAAATATATGGTTAGCTGCAAAAATGACGATACTACTGGTGATATCGACATAGATGGTAGATAAATTTAGGTATCTAGGTTCTACGATAACTAGAAAAAACGAAATTGAAGAAGAGATTAAGGTTAGACTGAAGGCGAGGAATGCTTGTTATTTTTCTGTGACAAAACTACTTAGTTCGCGCCTCTTGTCCCGAAACTTAAAAATTAGAATCTGTAAAACAATTATCTTGCCTACAGTTCTTTATGGATGCGAAACTTGGCCGCTTACACTAAGGGATGAGCACCGTCTTAAGGTTTTTGAAAATAAAGTATTGCGTAGAATATTCGGACCGAAGAAGGATGAGTTAACCGGAGAGTTCAGACGGTTACACAACGCCGAATTGCGTGAGCTGTATCCGGGTAATATAATTGAGGTAATTTCATCGCGGCGAATCAAATGGGCTTGTAAAGTTGTTGAGCTTGGTAACGAGAGAATTCCTAAAAGGTTAATATTTGCTGTGCCGAATGGTAAGCGTCCGAGGGGTAGACCGAAGCGAAGGTGGGAAAATTGCATTAAAGCCGATCTGAAGGGACTGGGTTTGGACGGCGAACGGTGGAGGGAGGTGTGTAACAAGCGGTTGGTGGTGTCGGCATCGAGCCTTCGGGTTCGCTAAGCCTTATTATTATTATTATTATTTATTATTACATATGGCGTAAAGACCTCCCAAAAAAAGCCTATTTAAAAATATTTTATTTTAATCTCTTATACATATATAAATTTAACATACAATTATACTATTTATAGTAGAACTGAATAAATAGACTAAATAGTGGCAAAACTATTTTATTATTATTATTTGACACCCTTAATTTGAGCTTTTTCGGAAATAAAATACCTTTGGAAGATAGCAAAAAGTTCCGTTTATCTTGATCTATTTCTTACTGTTAGTCTTTCTTTGATGTTATTTTAGAATCGATGTTTTGGAATGTGTCTGCTCCCAGCAAGGTATTATTATTATTCATAGACCTAAAACCAGGATTTGAAATCTTTAAATTTTTTTTCACAAAATCATGTAATAATTATTATATTTGATTTATAAATAAAAAATTAAATCGATCTTTGATTTTTATTTATTCGATTAAAATAATCATCATTCCTTGAGTGATACAGTTTTATATAAATAATAATGATTAAATTGTGATCAAACAATTTTTTATCATAAAATAAAAATCACCTTTTACACAAAAATAAAATAAAATATTAATAGTATGTATACGTCATTAATGTACACATTTTTTGATATTATATTTATCAAATCGCTTTAATTGTGCACGCGGCACCTGCACTATATATATTAATAATAATATATGGTAAATAATATTATTTACTACTTATTATTTAAATTATAGTATATATTTTTTGAAGTTAGTATTTTATTAAGTTAGTATTAGGCCAGATAACTATTTTTTTATTTAGGAAGTAGGTGGTCCGGGTGGCGGTCATAAATAGGCTGAACAGTGGCAAAACTATTTTATTAAAAGCCAACGTTTCGACCCGACTTTGTAGGTCTTCTTCAGAGAGATGTGGTTCAGCTAGGAGTTTCACTTAGAACTCTAGAAACACTGGAAACTTGATTTATAAGTGAAACTCCTAGCTGAACACACCTCCCTGAAGAAGACCTGCAAAGTCGAGTCGAAACGTTGGCTTTTAATAAAATAGTTTTGCCACTATTTATTCTATTAATGACCGCCACACTGGACCATCTCCTTCCTTAATAATACAACGGTCAACTATTATATATTTAGTGGAACTAAATAGTTTTTAAAAATAAATTTTGGAAGATGTGTCTCTTTTCCACACCGTAACAACCTTTAAAATGATGCCATCATTGGATTTGATGAAGAATAATGGAAGATGGCATACCGAAAAAACAATTTTTTTTAGTGATACTATTTTATTAAGTAATATAATATACTCTAACAAAATGTATTTTAATCTTGACAAATCAAAAATATAAAGTGCACATAACTCTCATACTTTTAATTTTAAGTGTGGGTTTTAATTTATAATTAAACTAATTTTTTTTATTCGGATTTAGACATTTCCAAAACACTAGCAACAAAAACAATCCAAACAAAAACCACAACAAATAAAGTAAAGGTACTTATTATTGGCATATTGCCAATTATTGACACTTGTAACTAAAATTTGATAAAATAAGTGTTTAGGTTCAAGTAGGATTTCAAACTTGGCGCCCTTTCAAGGGCACATTAATCAGCCTTTGATTGCTCGGTCCCTTCCCTTTTTACGGGCCAGCAAGTAAATAATGTAACGAGTTTTTAATTGATAAGTGCCTCACTAAAAATTCGAAATTTACGTTTGAGGGTCTTATAGATTAATAGGATTGGACCTTACTGGGTTGCTGTTTCATGCACAGGAGGATCATCATTTTGACAGATGAATGACATCATTTTGAAGATAATCTTCGGTTGGAATCAGTTAAAAATTAGTTGATATTCTTCAGGTGGAAAATTTATCATTCAAATCTTCAAAAACGGTTGTTATAAATAAAATATTAGAGTGTGAGTGTGCTCTCTGAACAATATTATAAATGTTCTTGATTGTGACAGAATGTAATATTTCTGAATAAACAAATAAAATAAAACTTTATTTGAGTATATAATTAATTCAAAAAGTATAAAATTTATGGTTGATTACATCCAACATTATTTGAGAGGTTATTAAATTTTCTCTACAAACAAAAAAATCGTAATTGCCAAATACACAGCCTATTGTAATTTGTAGAATTGTATTTGACCGTGAAAATTAAATCAATTCCTCCATCTCATAATACACATTTAATAAAATTATTTTTTATTTTTTCACTATGAGGGGAGAAGGTCTTTCGGACTAAAGCGTCCCTCCCCAAAATGGTAAAGTATAACTACGTTTTATGAACAAAAATTATCTTTAAAAGTATCATTGTTTATCTGATAACATTTAATAGGACTTAAAAAATCACTTTATTTCATATAGGTAGTTAGTTTCTTTCATTATTCTAAAGTAATTATCGTAATATAAAAAGATCCCCAAAATTAAATCCTGGATCCGTTAGTGGATTCATGGCAACTATAATTTTGATGACAGATTTTTTTTTTTTTTATTCCAAGAGTCTCTTCTCCAGCTTCTTGCTCGTTCTCCGGGTGACTTTAACATCCGCATGTAGATCTGGACGGTGGGACGAGGACCCTATGGCCGCGGAATACCAATGGCCACCTCCGCCACCCGATTAGTAGGGCCGTGGTGTTTTTGCAAAGAGTTCTTTTTTGTTTTGGTCCGGGACAGGGCAGAAGTAGAAGGCCACTCGAGTTTATTTTGGCCCGTCCTTGACAGCATGTGCCTCCGAACGGCTTATCATAACTCTCAGGGGGAATGGTTAATGATAACTGCCAATGGCTGCTATATTTTTACATCGAGGCGTAAATACCGGTTATTTTAGCTCACAAAAAAAATACTGAAGTCTTCATAATCCCAGTTTCAATAATCTGAGACATTTTAAAAGATTTTTTTTTAGAAATGACAAAATTTACCAGGATAAATCATTTTAAAAAAATATGGTTAAATTTTTAAAAATAAATGTCAGGGAAGAGGATATAACATGGTAATGAAGAATTCGATCATGGTAATACCGATAAAAATAATCCAGCTATATATGCGGCTGTATATTGTTCACAGCCGCATATATAGCTGGGTTTCTAGTGTTTCTAGAGTTCTAATTGAAACTCCTAGCTGAACCACATCTCTCTGAAGAAGGCTTGCAAAGTCGGGTCGAAACGTTGCCTTTTAATAAAATAGTTTTGCCACTATTTATTCTTTAATTAATAACCTATTTATGACCGCCACCCTGGACCATCTTTCTAAATAAAAAATTAATTTAATACTAACTTACTAAAATTAAAAAAATATATACTGTAATTTAAATAATAAGTAATAAATAATATTATTTACTATATATTACTATTTACGATTTGATAAATATAATATTAAAACATCTGGTGTGTCCACTCATACGACTTTCCTACCCATTTCAAAAAAAGTTTTACATATGTTAACAGATAATAGACTAATAACTAAAAATGCTTTTTTTGGACTCTAGGGCCACTGACACGTTAAGATGCGTTGAAAATTGTACATTGAAAATTTGCCCCCATCACAATACTTCTTCCCTTACCTAACGGTAGGAAAGTAAAAATACAAATCACAAATATATCACGTATATTTGCTGATCAAGATTTTCTTAAAAGTATTTTTAAATTCAATTATAAAAACTCTTTAACACTTCTGTTTAATTCAGAACAATTAATTTATTTTTAGCACCTTTTGTTATTTAGTTGAGATAAAATATTTAAGCGATAAGATAATACTCAGGGTACACAGATCCAACTAATAACAAGTTAAATCTCTCAACGAACAAATATCTTAATCCTTAAGGTCGAATTGGTAAGTTGAATTGATTGACAGTATATAACTGGCTAAGAAGTGTTACCTCATATTTAGAAAACGAATAAACGTGAATTTGTTTATTTTCTACTTGGAGCAGCAGTTGGAATTCCATCGGCCCAAAACTCCGTAACGCCAAAGTAAAATCCGAAACAGCGCGAGTCCAAACTTATAGAGGTGAACTATGGACTTTACTATTTTTATCAGGTTTAGAAATTAATAATAAAAACTTTTTTTATGTATTCATGATATTTACTGTATTACAATATAAATACATCAAGTAAATGTGTACACAGGAATATAATCACACGAAAACTCTTATTGAGAAACTACCCACTGGTAGCACCCTAATAATATGTCTAGATAATGATATCACGACGCCATCTTCTTTTCAGGCACATCAGAGGTAAAAAAAATAAATAAATAAATAAACACAAAATGGAAATCAAATCTGATCAAAATTTTTATCTGGAATTTTAAAAATCATTTGATGATTATTATTAGAAGCGATTTTTACTTTTGATCATAAGTGTAAAAAATCATATTCTGATAATGTTAATGTAACTTCTTCATCATACTTCTCGAATTTGAAAAAATATGTACTAATTAGAATAATTAAAGAAAAATATACGAACGTTAAAAATGTAATGCTTTATTTGTCAAATAATTGTTTTGAAACTATTAAGTAATCTAGCATTATACATTTTTTGACATAGAAACCGAAGGCATATTTTGATTTATCATATCAAAAAAATATCATCAAAAATTACAAAATTGTTTTCAATATTGTATCCATTAAATAATGTTAACCGAACTCGTATAATGATCATACACCTCTTATTATATACAAACACAGTCTGTAAAACATGTTAAATTATAAACTTAAGTTCACTCACAATCAGTATGATACTACCAAGGTAAGTGACATCAATACGATTATAATAAAAGAATAGGAACATTTATCGATTAAAGAATGATAGATATTCTTATGTCTTACCCATTTCATGTGGTGAGACGAAATAGTTCTCCATAATTCTGCTTACCTGCAATAATAAATTAATAAATATTAAATTTTTGCATAGTGTATATAGGTATGTATGTGTGTTTTTTAAAGTTATTTTATTCTTATTTATTGTATAAATAGGTATATTATTTTCTGTTTAATTTATTTTTATTAATTGTACATAGAGTGTAAATGTGATTTACATCTGAATGCCCTTTGAGGCAGATTATAATATTCCTCAATGAACAAGTTAAAAAAAAAAATTATAATATTACAATTTTATTGTCTGTATAATACAACAATATAACGAACAATGAAAATGTTATAAATAAAAGGCTCAAATTATTGTTGGACTTATATGAACGTGGACAAGTTGAATATATATTACGGTTACAAACTGCTAATGAGGCGCGATGTATAATATAAATTTTTAAATAAATTAAAAAATTGTCCGAATTGTGTTTCGTTCAGTTTATTTTATGTCCATAAAAAAAAAAAAAAATACACTCTGAACTATAGAATACATGAAAATTAAAGTTATACAATTTCAGCAACGAGTAGTTCAATTGAATGAACATTTGTATAAGTTGTAAAACGGGGAATGGTCTGCCGTTATGCGGGCAGAGAGTACCCCATAGTATATTTTGTATAATATATTTATAAAAAATTGTTTTATTAACAATGTGATTCATATAATATGCAATTGCATGGTATGAGCACATTTTATGAAATATATGCCTCTTCTGTCGGATTATTAGAGAAGAGAAGACAAATTAGTAAACAAATACATAAATTAATATATTAACTAAATTTATTCTTAATTGTATAGTCAATGCCATGTTTTTTGTTATTATTTGTTTGCAGTCTAACAGAGACCCGAAAGTTTTAAGAACTGGTAAATTAATCTAAACGATAACAAGATCCATCTTTCAGGAAAATTACTCAATCCATGCAAAGTAGCAATCTCGATGATTGCAACGCGGTGGTCTCGGAAATAAAAAAGGGGAAGAGACGAGCATTGCCAATTATGACCTCCATGGAAGGCGGAGATCTGGGGAATAATAAAAGGAGAAGGAATCGTTAGCGATGGGCGGAGCAGGAAACATTCATGGCTCACATATCGAAAATAGGTACATTCTAAATATAGAAGGCACTGGATAAGTGTCGTTCAATTATCCAAATTGAGGAGGCAGTTCCGAGGCAATCATGGACCATTACCCCAGCAGGTTCTATCTCCTTGGCGGCCTCATATTTATTTAGCTTATTTCGTATTACTTTTTTTTTAATTTACAGTAATGTTCTTTGTGAGTTGAAGAACAAAGATAATGACATCAAATTAGGAGTTACATAAATGCATAACTCACTAAACGCTATTCCATGGTTGGCAGTTGGCTATTACATTTGAAAAATAAATACATAAAATTTAAATACTAAATTAAAACCTAAGGTTATGTGGCATTTCAAATAGCATTCATTACTAACTCATAAATTTTATTATTTATAATTCATCCTAGACATTTTAAGGCAACACATCTCATCTTCAGAAAATAGTCTTCTTGTCATTATAATTTAGTACAGTCATCATTAAAGTCCATAAAATAAAATTTACATCATGATATAACGATTAAAAGGACTAACAACCTGAACCTAAACCACGTTGTCAGTTAAAAAATACATCTTTAAATTTATTTATTTATGTGTTTACTTATTTACAAAATATAATTATATAAAATATTTATTGCAGTTTATAACGGAAAGGATTTAATAATAACTGTTACACGTAATATGCCGGGAATATAAGCATCCACATATATAAACAATGATAAAATAAAATATACTTTGAATTTAGTTACAATTTTTCTAATTGATAAAATAATGTTACGATAAACAAAACAAGTTACGCTTTTATTAATTAGACAATACAAATAGAATAATATTGTTTAAAACTTTTTACTGTATAATTCCATCAACATCGATAAAGTTATTTGATCTATAACAGGAGACAATGTAGTTGAGAAAAAAATATTTTTTATTTAGTTATAAATACTTATTATTTATAAGTCAATAACTGTTTTGTATTGTAAAGAACTAAAAAAATTAATGGAAAATTGAAAAATAATTCCTTTCCAACAATGGTTTATAATTTAATTGTTCTGTAAGATTAAAGTAGCATAGAGTTGCATGTATTATTCCAACTGAGATACGTGTAAGGGATAAATATTTAAATATATGTGTGAGTTTCAAATATGAACTTGTTTTAGAATTAATTTTTTATATTGGAGTTCTGGCAAGGGCCAGATTCTCCACTCACGACATGAGTGTATGTGGCTTAAGCACTCTTCCTCAATCTCCACTGGGTTTAGCCCCAGTGATGCAGTTGAGAGAGAAGTGCAGGGATCTCCTGGAGTCATGTTTTTCCCTCCACAATTGGAGGGACAAGTCTGGTTTGGAGGTCTCTCGCCAGATTGTAAATATTATATATAGGTATCTATGTGTTCTTTTTATTCATTTATTTTTAGGTTATTTTATTATTATTTATTGTATTTATATTATTATGTATAATTTATTTTATTTACTGTACATAGAGTGTGAATGTGATCTGTGAACACTATTATAAATGTCCTTGAGACAGATTGTAATATTTTTCAATAAATAAGCTTAAATAAAAAAAATAAAATTTTTTTTTTAACTGTTATTAGGTAATTAGAAAACACAAGTATAGAATAACTCAAAATTATATAATGCAGTGACAAAATATGAAAGATGACTGGATGCATACTTTATATTACCTATTTTCTTGAAACGAGATTGAAATATTTAAAAAATAAAATAAATGAGAGAAATAGAATTGAGAGCTGAGGTATAATTTCTCAATTATGAACCGATACGATCGAAAATAGCTTCACTTAAAGAAACTACGTCGAATACATAAATAAGAAGTAATATACGAATAAAAAGAGGATAAAATCAGATTCCAAGAAGGATTTAATTCATTTTTAAATAAGTCATATAAATAATGGAGTCGATATAAAAGCCAAGCGTTATTCGATGAGGATAGACGAAATGATTATTGCTGATTGGCAGTGGAGACTAGATATTAATATCATGGCAGCATTGGTACCTGGCCCGTTTGGTTTATAGCTCATGGAATACTGATTGAATGATCCGGGCGGGCACAAAGGGTCCCGACATTTTGAGATTATTATTATTCAGCTCAAATTTTATGCGACAGGGATGTTAATTGCCGATATAGATATATAATTTACGGCGGCTATCAATATGGAGGAGCGGGAGGGCTCCAGAGAAAAATTATCTCAAACTGGTTCTATTTGAAATTCAAAACAAACAGACACAGCACGGCGGTCGGTCTCAACGGGTTCTGGCTAAAAATAAACATTTACGCAATCATCTCGGAATACTTGGGTTTGTCCCCTATCTGCGCAGGCGCTTTAAAAATGTCACTTGTTTATTGCGAGTATTCTCAATGAGTTAACCTTATGCATTATATGTAACAACAAATAAGTAATTGATATTTTCACGGTCGAACGGAGCTAAATAATCGTGTACTGTTTTAATGATTTTATTTTATTTATTTATTATTTTTAGTGTGGCAGAAACCATAATTGAAATGAGAGGTGATCTTACAACACAAGAGATAGCGTAAATTATCTTAGACACAGCTAAGTAAATAAATGTTCAAATTACAAGGATGGAAAAATTGTTATATTATTGTTATTGTTATTATTGGTCATATTTTTCACTACGGAAAATATAATGACTAATTTTAGTGTTAAAGAGCTTTAAACAAAGTGTTCGATTCAAGTTGATTTTTCACTACTAGCACAACTACTTCATAATTTAAAATATAATTATTATATTTACAAGAATAAAATGATATCGTTTATAACTGGAAAAAATTAAATTATTCTTTCCATTTGCTTACAATGGTAAACTGCTTTGCTGTTGCCTGGCTATGACGTAACAATGTCAACAGGTTTGATTTGCCTCATTCAAATCCAGGACTCGACTCCTGGAAACTTGTTGGATCGAATCCGGACAAGATCTGGCCAAGGACTGGAGTTCTGGTGCGGACTGGATATCGCCGCCGGGGCACTCCATCGAGGCAGGATGCTCAAGAGCTTTTTCCGGGGCACGTTTCGGCCGCCGATGTAGTTTGTCTCATAATTGCCTATTTAGATAAGTACTAATGTTTTAGTTTATTCAATAATTTCCTATTTTTTTTATTTATTTAATATTTAAAACTTAGGCTTCATATCAAGTATAATTGAAAGATATTGTCATAATCAACATATCATTAATTTGAGATTCCTAATTTATTAAATCCTCACTTATCTTTCAACAGCATCCACAAAAATCTAATCAAATATTATGTTTTTTTAAATGAAATCCGGAATAATATTAAAACCTGTTATGGACATCAACAGGTTTAAATCCATCAACAAATCCTAATAGACTAAGAACTGCCGACATTTTCATTTAACTGAAGAATTTACAGCTAGAACCATTTTAAATTATAGATAATGCTCACCTGAATACACAACTCCGGTCAGTCGCATGAAAGCCGTTACTTCATACAAGAAAATTTAAATTAAAGAGGCGAAATTTGGCAGTTCATTTAACGGAAGAACATACGGCTGAAATGTTGATATGATGTCAAAAAAGATGGACCAAAGCATGTACCATAGATAGAAACAGATGAAAACAAGTTATAAACAATATTTAGCTGTGTTTCGTTTTGTTATGTCCTGTTTGTCTTTTTATTAACCGAGTGCTTCCAAGACTGTTCTGTTTACTGTATGGCTTTGGCTTTGTTTTGTTTTTCGCAGGCCTTAAATGGCTATTCTACAAAAAAAAATTATATCTGTTTTTAAACATTAAAAAAAAAAAAAAAATCTGGTGTGTCCACTCACACGACTTTCCTACCTATTCGCCCCTTTCTGACACCACGAAATGAACTCGTAATCTTTCATTGGAAATTAAATAGCTGTAACTTCGTTAATAATTGTCCAAAATGAACGATTTTTATATGGCTTTATAGGCAATTCATTACCTTTCAAACGACAGGCTAAACGGCGTGTTTTTCGGGGCTGTGAAAAGTATAGATCCGTCGAAAACCGTGTTGATAATTTAATTACCTTTCAAAACTTTTATTATAAATTTTACCGTATGATATATACTTAGGGAGTTAGGCCCCATAACATTTTTCTTTTCTTTATAACTTTTTTTCCTGATTTTTTTCGGGAATTTAGCCTATATAGGAAAATTGTAAAGACAATGATTAGAACATCATAGAAAACTTTCATCAAAATCGTTAGAGTCGTTTTCGCGCTACAGTCTACAGAAAAACATGTTTCTCATTTATTGCGCGCAAGCTATTGCGCATGGAGCAACAAATTTCTGTCACAGGCATCAGTAGTTAAAACCCTACAAAATAAAAAAAGAAGCAACAAAATCGGTTCAGTAGTCCCTGAGAAAATCTTGGCACAGACAGACAGAGAGACAGACCAATGGCTAAAAATGTGTTTTTCGGATTGGGGAGAGAGGGGGGTTGTGAAACGTATAGATCCGTCGAAAACCGCATGTCGGAAATTTGACCCGATTGCAATACTTTCCTTATAGGTAGGAAAGTAAAAAAAGATTGTAATAATTTAAACATATTCTTCTACGCTGTAGCCAACTCCGTTAAAATTCCTCATAAGGGAGAGGCTTTTGTCTATAATTGATGTTAAGAAAACATATTATTATTATGTCACGAATATGACCCTAAAAGAGAATTCAACTTAACTGACGATGTACTCTACTGTATTTTGAAAACTAACGCGTCAAAGTCATCAAATTAGGCCAATCAGAAGGTAGTTGGATGAGGAAAAAATTCAAATAGTCGGTTTCTCTTTGGGATGCTGAATCTGAATTTGATGTGCCAAAATTTTCCATTGCGTTCCAAGATATATGCAAAAAAAAGGAAAATTTACAATATTTTTTTGTTTTTTTCCGACATGACTCGAAGCGATGCATTTTATAAAATTCTTATTGTATACAAAGTTAAAGAAGATAAAATTAACTACCAAATTTATACATAGCTTTTTAATGTAAATCCATCGGTTAGAGAATATTGACTGTATGCTTATTTCAGAAGATATGTCTGTTTTCATCGGTTCCTTCTCCCTCCCCCATCCCAATAACTCAAAATCTATACATCCCTCGAAGAAATTCATTAAGATAAATTTTTAAAAAAGCATTCAATTTCCTATGTACATCATGTAAACACGTTAATATATGAGAGGATCAAGCGGCTGTTAAAGTAAAGAGCATGAGATCGAAAGAATATTTCACTAGTCATGGATGTTTATCTTCTCTCATGCCAACAGAATATATAAAAGCTATGTAATTTGTTTATACATTCTAATTCTGTTATAAATATAGTTAAATTAGGCGAATCAAAAGCATTGAGAAGGTAAAAAGCACTTAAGTTGAGAGTGGCAGATTTACGATTGAAATATGCCTTCGATTCCATTAACTCTCACACATATTAACATGTCTAAATGACGTACATAGGAAATTTAATGCTCTTTCAAATCGATTGTAGTAAATTTTTTCGAGAGATGCAAAGATTTTGAGTTTTGGGGAAAAAAACGATGAAAACAGACATTTCTTCTGAATTAAGCTAACAGTCAATATTCTTTAACTCCTCACCCGATGGACCTATATAAAAAATCTGTGTATAAAATCGATAGTAAATTTTATCTTCTTTAACTTTTTATATGATAATAATTTTATAAAATGCATCGTTTCGGAGTCATGTCCAAAAAAAAAAAAAAAAGTTCGGAAATTTGGCTTTTTTTCATATATCTCGGAGCGCAATGGAAATTTCGTTCGTAAACATCAAACCCAGCATAAATCTGGTTTACTATGGAGCAATGTTTAATAACTTAAATCAATTTTTTTTTTTATGTTATCGCTTCCTATTCAAGAAAAAACATGACTAGTTTAAAAATTAAAAGATTTTAAATTTGCTACTTTGTAATTGGAAATTAGGCTATTGTTTATATGAATTTTTCTGTAGATCTTGATGTCTACTCAACATTTTAAATTTTTCCTTCTACTTACGAGACATCCTGTATAGTGATTGACGTATAACCTGTATTATTATATATTTTTAATAATTACAAAGAGAATAGATATATTAATATTAGTGTTCTGTATTCTTGCATTAATGAAAATTCTCAAATTTCTGTGTTCAACAAATAGATTTGAAATACTGTAGTGTGACCGTTTTCTAACCTAAGAAATACCACCGTATTCCAATAGGCAACCTGTTTACAGTCTTCTTAGCCTGCTATGGAAAATCCCCAGATCACTGGCACCACACATACATCATTCAAGATATTTCCTTTTCGCGATGCATGTGTATATATAATTGGATTCTGTGAAAGTAATAATCTCTGAGGAACCGAAAGAGATTTAAAGCTTTAGAAAAGGATAATTAGTAATACAGCAAAGCAGTTTAATTTAACAATATTTATACTTAATAACACAATAAAAAAATTATGTCTAAAATATAATTTACATTAAATATTGACACTAATCACAGCAAATGCGGTCACCATCGAATGTAGGATGTCTATCGGATGTGCTAAAAGATAAGAAATAATAATTAAGGGTTGATGGTTGACTGTCGTGAATAATGAAGAGAAGGATGGTTGGAGTGATTAGTCAGAAATAAAAAGGCAAAATAAATAATAAAATTTATTTTAGCCTTTGCCGACGTTTCGACCTGAAGTTCATGCCTTCTTCAGGGCTAAGAAAAGAACCAGATAACAATGTATGAGAAACATAAATAATGAAAAAAATTAAGTATAATGAAGTTAATAGAATAATGACAATAACAAGAACTAAGAAATAAATAATAATAACCGTTACAACATGTAGAATAATGAAGTAAACATAATCAAAATAAGGTGATACAAGTATTAAAATGGTAATTTTAGAATGAAATGTAAAACAGAAAAAAGGAATGAGAAGTTATATAAGAAATAAAAATAAATAGTAAAATTAAGATATTTTAAATAGAATAGTTAGATAGAAAATTTCTTAGCCCTGCTGAAGGCCTGAACTTCAGGTTGAAACGTCGGAAAATGCTAAAATAAATATTATTATTTATTTCTGACCGATCACCACAACCATCCATGTCTTCATAAGAAATAATATTTATATCACCTATATTGTTCAGTATAGTTTTAGACAAAATTATGAGAACATTTTGGAAACCCAATAAGTGTGGTCTAAGGATAGGGAAAAAAATAAGGAGTAAAAATCAAGTGAAATCAGCTTGGCTTTCGCGGATGATCTACCATTTAAGGCAGAAAGTGAACGATAGGCTTAATGAACTAAAAGAAATAATAGAAAGAGCCGGATTGAAAATATCATTTGAAAAAAAGAAAGAAATAATGACTAATAATAAGAGGAAAAATGAAAAAAATCGAGACTTACTATGAAAAAATCAGGTCAGTGGAACAGATTAAATACCTTGGGGAACTCGTGAACTACAAAGAGGAAGACATGTAAGCAACACAGTGCAGAGAAGTGAAATTGGATAAATTAATGTTCTTAGTCAGGAGTTTGCATAGTAAAAATAATCTTTCTAGGAAAGCCAAAATTAGACATTATGAATCAGTCATGAAATAGGTGATACTCAACGGGGCGGAATCCATTAGATCGACCAATATGGAATCGATACTGATAACAGAAGAAAAGATTCTGAGAATACGGGCCGAAAAAGGTAGGGGAAGAATACCGATTAAACAAGAATAGTGAGCTTCATGAAAATATTGAAAACTTGGAATCACCGATTCAAGTTCTTTGGGCATATGAAGAGAATGGATCGGAATTGGTTAAACGAACAAATATTCGACGAAATAATGGGACTGAAGAACATAAAAAGTTACCCGGAATAAAGAAAGGAAAAAGTAGAAAAGATGGGAATCAAAGAGGAAGAATACCAAGATAGAGATAAATTCGGGAAAATAGTGAAAAATATAAAATTTCTTGTAGAGGAGAAGAAGAAAAAGCAAGGAAGTAAGAAATGAACAGAGGAAAGAAAGATGGTAGAAAAAATGAAAATGAACATCGGCGAAAAAGAAAAAAAAAATGTTTTTTTTTTAAGTTCATCATTGGCCTAAA